AAGAAAAAACAAAACTACACATACACACACCATTTCCTAACTGACGTACTATAGAACACTACACACAACAACACAATCTACATTCTTTTCAAATGTATAAGATATGTACCAAAAATGTGCCATATGTTCAGCTATAAAAATTTATATCTTTAAATGCATGTAGTAGAAAAGGAGAAAGTCTAAAAATCAGTGATCTAAATATCTATTGCAAGAAGTTATTAAAAAGGGCAAATTGCATTTAAAGAAAGTAGAAAGAAGAAAATGAATAAAATAAAATCACACTTAAAATCATTTAAATCTATAGCTTAGATTATAAATTTAAATGTCAAAGATGTAACATGCAAAGATAGGCTAAAACACAGAAATCTATCTTCTTAACTTTGGGGAGGTAATTTTTTCACAGTTTATTTATGATTTATGAGGAAATTATAGTAAATTTGTGGAAAAATAGAATTTAAGTACTAATTTATTTTGATGTAAAAAGTCTGAAATTCATGCATAGTTCTTTTTATAATACACATTTTCCATGAACCTTTTGAAGAATTCTGGTATTTCTTCCATGAAAGAGAGTGATAGGGAGGGAAAGAGAGACAGACACCCTGCAAGCAGGGTCCTAATGTGGCTAGACCAAATCATGGGCACACATGTACGCATGCCCAATGCACAGGGAAGCCCCAGTATGTGAACCAGTGTCCTTGTCATATGGATCCGCTTGGGTTATTGCAGCACCATCAACTGGCCCTATTTATTTATTTATTCATATATTTGACAAGTGACTGTTAAATATGTCTTTGTGCCAGGCACTTTGAGCTATGTTGTGGGAATAAAGTAGTAAAAGAGAGATATAAAGTAACTACCCTACACCTGCCCGATGTGAGTTTAACCCACCAGGTCTGGGACTTGAACCACAGTTAACTACATGGGAGTCCAGCAACATAGCCATTATGCCAACTGCTGGTCCCAAAAACCTGATAATTCTAAAAAGGATTTGTTTCCTAGCAGTTCAAATATGCTAATCCCAATTTACAAGTGATTGTGTTAATATCTGAAGTTTACCACAAAGGTTTTACCACCATTTATGAAATGATTAATAATATTATTAATTACATGTGTTACTTTTATTTATTTATTTTATATATATAAAGGGGGGATGGCCATGCCACAATCCCTTCTCCTCCATTCTCCTCTCGGGATCTTGGGCACTCATGCACACGCGCCCGGCGTGAGTTTTAAGCCACCGGGTCCGGGACACGAACCGCGGTCGACTACGTGGGAGTCCAGCGGCATAGCTGTTACGCCAACTGCTGGTCCCAAGAGAGATATTTTTGCTATAGGGCACGTGTGCTTGCTGGAGAGACAGAGAGAAAGAGAGAGACAGAAAGTGAGAAATCACCCCCCAGGGGGGATGGCCACGTTGCAATCCCCTTTCTTCCATTCTCCTCTTGGAATTTTGGGCATGCATGTACATGTGCTCGGCCTGAGTTTTAAGCCTCTGGGTCCAGGAGTCCAGCGACGTAACCATTACACCATCTGCTGGTCCACATGTATTACTTTTTTATTTGGTCAATTTACTTAATCTGACATGGTCCGTAAATGTGGAAAATTAGAATACTATTCGCTTTGCAGGATTTCTGATAATACAACTTTATAAAATGCTTTTATCTTATTGCATCCTTTAAGTATTTTCTAAAATGTTGATATCACGGTTTTAAATTCATTGAAGGCAGTTCTCTGGCAGCCAGATGAGTCACTCTTTCTTCCACAAAGACTGACTTCATTTTCCAATTCCGATAAATGCTTTAGTCTAGATCCCTGAGGAAACCATCACCTTTCTGAACCCTAAATCTAGGCTCGAAAGCTAGTTATCTGGATGGACAGGGTACTGACCCCTTAGTTTTTCTTTTTTCTTTTTTTAGCAGGGCCTCGCTAAGTTGTGATCTTCTTGCCTCAGTCTCCCTAGTAGCTGAAATACTGCACCTGGCTATTAAGGTGGACTGGGAATCAAACCCAGGGCTCCCAAGTAGCCCCACCCTGTGGAGTAGCTGGGTCAGCCACAGTGGGGCCTGCTCCTTGACGCATACTTTCTTTGCTTTCCTCCGATGGGAACCATCCTCAGAAAATAGATTCTCAAATTGTTCCTTTCTTTGGAACTCAGAAAACTCAGAAGTTTTGACACTTTAAAGACATGCCAGAAACAGATAAGAAGTATGCTTTTTCCTTTTTTTTTAAAGAGGAAGTAGTTTATGAAAGATAGACGATGAGAACGTCGGCCTGTAGACTCATCCTCAGTTGGATCCACTTCAGGAAAAAGTAAATGTGGAATTCGAGAACCAGGACGTAATGTCTCTAACGGCCTCTATACCTGTGGACTTCCTGGAAAATCGTCCTGCACCCTGAGTGGTATAGGTGCCCCAGCGAGAGCAGGATGGATCTAGTCAAATGTGCTCGTCTTTCAATCGGGTAGACTGAGGCAAAACTACCCCAAGTGGACCTCATCAGCGGAACCCGTACTTCAGAGTCTCCTGACTCCTGTCTTGCTGTAGCACAACACCTTTGTGCTATATACCCCAGACCTGGGCTAGTTCTTTAGAGCTCCCACTGTGCAGCTCCCCATCACGTTCACCATTCTCACGAGACCTATTCTGTATCTCTTGCCAGAACAAACTCTTCTCCAATCCAAATGCATTCTGTGTTGATAGCTGTGAGATTTAGCAAATAGAAAACACAGGATGGCTAGTTAAATCTGAATGTCAGGCCTAACCCGGTGGCAGCCTATAATGTGCTGGACTCAGTGCTGGAAACCACGTGACCAGCTGTGGGTCTGGATCTTCAGGATGGCCTGAAATAGCTCTGGGTGCATGCTCAGGTGCCCAAGATCTTGAGGAACTGGAGGACTGGAGAAAGACATGGGTGCTGTGCTTAGACCCAGTTGGGGTATTTTCTCATGTGTGCATATACTATCATATCATTACAAAAACTCTGCGAGTCAGATAAACAACAGATAACTTTTTAATATGACTTTATTCCTTTAAAAATTTTTTTTAAAGAGAGGTTTTTGCTGCACTCCCTGGAAAGAAGGAGAGATAAAAAGTGAGAAATTATTCCCCCTGGGGGGATGGCCACACTCCAGTCCCTTCTCCTCCAGTATCCTCTCAGGATTTTGAGCGTGCATGCACATGTGCCTGGCATGAGTTTTAAGCTGCTAGGTCCAGGTCTTGAACCACGGTTGAGTATGTGGGAGTCCAGCAATGTAACCATTTCGCTGTCTGCTGGTCCCAGCTATGTTCCTTATATTGCCTGGGATATACGTGTACTAAAAATTGTAACTGGACATGTTCTATTTGTCAGTCTGATAAATCTGTATTTCCTGTCTATCCTTGTCCCAAAAGCTCTGCTTTCTACTGACTCTAGGCTAATCTGATGAACTAATTCTCAAGACTGGTACCAGTCAAGACAGGTTAGAGAGTAAAATTTTAAACCAAGATGACTTGGTCATAAGAATTTAAAGTGGGGGCCAGCAGGTGGTGTGGTGGTTCAGGCACTGGACTCAATTGTGGTTTGAATCCTGGAGCTGGAGGCTTGCTTTCTCACTTTCCCTCTCTCTTTGGTCAAATTAAAAAAATAATAGTTATGAATAAAATGAAATAAAATAATTCTTAAAAAAATTTAGGGCCCCATAGAAATTTTTTGGCTGATTATTTTTAGGGGAATCGAAGTTATGATTATTATATGCAGTTTCTGATTAGGGAACTCAGAAGCTAAAGAGGTAATATGTACAGTTTTGGCATTCACTATGCCATTGCTATTTGCTTCCTGGCCGGAATATGTGAAGTAATATGTAAAGCACTAATTCTGTACCAGTTATCATGCTTTACCTCAATTGTTCAATTAATTCTCTCTCTCTTTTTTTATTTTGAAGAGGTTTTCGCTATAGGGCGCGTGCGCTCACCAGAAAGACAGAGAGAGAGAGACAGAAAGTGAGAAATCACCCTCCAGGGGGGATGGCCACACTGCAATCCCTTCTCCTCCATTCTCCTCTCAGGATTTTGGGCATGCACCTGGCGTGAGTTTAAGCCCCTGGGTCCAGGACTTGAACCACGGTCGACTACATGGGAGTCCAGCGACATAGCCATTACTATGGTCCTAATAGCTGGGACCAATAGTCCAGTTAAATCTCTTCATGTGTAGAAGGTAGGTGTTACTGTTACTCCCTTTATGACAAACTGAGGTTCAGTGAAGGTAAGTGGCTGAGCCCAGACCACAGCTGCTGAGTGTTGGACCCAGGACGTGACTGGAGCTCTAACTCCCAAGTCTTGGTTTCTGCCATTCCATACCACATCTTTAAATCTTCACACCGGCTTAGCTTAATCCCCTCAAGGACAAAGTCCACAATACATTGTAGCTGTAAGTGACCAAGTCAAGACCGAAATGAAGATTACCGCATTTGGAAATTGTAATTCCCATTACTGAAGGGTCCAGGCACTGTTGTAAAATTTGGGGAGGAGACAGAATTAGTATTTTGAAAGAAAAAAAAAAGTGGAGGGATGGGGATAAATCACCAACAGCCTTTCTTCTTAGCCACATAGTATGGCTTTGGGAACTACAGAAATACTACGCGAGATAGCTCTATTACTTTCTCCGTGTCTATCCATACAAGTCATACTTTGGTAAAAAGGTGTCAGCTCGCTCTCTCTCCCCCTCTCTTTCTCCTTTCTTCCTTTTCCTTCTCTCATGCTGATTTTGAAATGTGTTTCCTCCTGGAGTTAATACAATAAGGCATTATGGTTCTTTACACCTTAAAGTGAAAATATACAAAAAAAGTCACAAAAAGATACATGGAAGTGGGAGCTGGAGTATCATATGATCCTAGATGTGGGTCGTGGGAGTAAGAGGATTGTCTTTGTTAACTCACGGTCATCTGGGAATTTTTCTTCTGGGACACTAAGACCCTGCCGGGTTGTTCCAGGCTCTCTGGGAAATCTCATACCGTTTGCCTCTGTCATCAGCGGAGCAAAGAAAATGTGCTCACTAGTGTCTAGGGCTGCCCCTAGAGTAACCGTGGGCAAACCAACTCTGCGACTGTTCCAGACAAATTCTGTGATCGTTCAAGTGTGTCCTTTCGCCCAGGAGCAAGACAGTGGGCAAGTGTCTGGGCAGGACCAAGCACTGCATCATGGCAGAGCATGGGGCTGTTGGGAAGTGTCCTGAGGCTGCCTCTCAGACCTGTCCCACTCACCACCTGACTCAGATACGTCCCTGCCCCATCTGGGTCTTGGTTTTCTTGTCTGTGAACTAAGGGGACTGGTGGATTGTCTTTCTGGACTATGCCTAACGCCTGCCCTCGTCTCATCCCACACAGAAACCGTCTAGCCCACAGCCTCACCTTCTCCTGGAGGAACCTAGCTCTCCTGCTGCTTCTCACCCTCTCTTGGGAGCAGATGTCTGCGACGCTGGTCAACAAAATCAAACGTGGGTTCAGAACGGTGGTGCCATTCTGCCTTAGGAGGCATTCTTGGGGACTGAGGGTTAGACACAAGGCAAGGACTAGTGTCTTTATTTTTAAATTTTATTTATTTTTTGAAAGATTTTTGCTCTAGTGTGCTTGCCAGAGAGGCAGAAAGATAGAGAGCAAGAAATCACCCCCTCCAGAGGGGATGACCAGGCCACAATCCCTTCTCAGAATTTTGAGCATGCATTTTATAGAGAGCAAGAAATCACCCCCTCCAGAGGGAATGACCAGGCCGCAATCCCTTCTTAGAATTTTGAGCATGCATTTCCACATGCCTGTCAAAGGTTTCAAGCTGCTGAGTCTGGGACTTGAACCACAGTCAAGCATGTGGGAGTCCAGTGCCTTAACCACTACTCCCCGGTCTGGCCCCCCAGATTTAATTTTTCAGGTGAGGGAGCCAGTAGACATGAGCCTGAGGGGAGATGACCAGTAAGAAGACTATTGCAGTAGTCAAGGAGAGAGATGGGATGAGGTCGGGTGCTGATCTGAGCAAGTGGTAATACAGAGAGAGTGGAGAGAGGTTTTGGAGAGAGATCAAGAAGATAAAATTGACCAAAGTCCCAGACTGACAGGATGTTGAGGTGGTGGAGAGGGAGCAATGAGTCTGGAGTCTAATGATAGACTAGCACTGTTGATGACAACCACAAAACAAGCAAACAAGTGGGGAGCATAGATTAAAGAGGTGCTGCTTAGACATGAGGAGATACTAGTCCTTTTTTTTTTTTTTTTTTTTTTTTTTTTGAGAGAGAATTTTGCTGTAGAGCTCATGCACTTGCTATAGAGTCAGAGAGACAGAAAGTGAGAAATCACACACACCCCCACTCCCAGGGGGGATGGCCATGCCACAGTCCCTTCTCCTACAGTCTCCTTTCATGATTTGGGGCATGCACACATGCATACCTGGCATGAGTTTCAAGCCACCAGTCTAGGACCTGAACCCCGGTCTGCCATGTGGCAGTCCAACACCTTAAGCACTATGCCACCTACTGGTCCATACTAGTTCTTTTTTCAACATGTTGGAATAGAGGTGCTTATAGAATGTCCAAGAGGCATTTTCCCCAGGCAGCTGGAATAAGAATCTTTAGTTTGGAATAGAGGATGGTTGGGAGATAGGGGAATCACAGTAGAAATTGTGGGGGTAGAGATGATGGCCCAGGAAGTATGCGTCAAGTAATGTCAGAAGACAAATGAGGCAAGAACTCCAGGGAACAATGTCAGAGTCTGTGCAGAGGAAGCCCTGGCCTCTGTGTATCAGGGAAGGGACTGTACACACAGGTAAGTGGCTACGAAGAGCTGGCCGGGCAGAGAGGAGCGTTCTAAGTGAGAGCTGAAGTTGGCTGTGAGGAAAGGAGCTCCAGTGGCTGAAACCCAAACCAAAGTTTAAATGGCTCCTGGAAAAGGGAGGGAGGCTGGGTCAACATGAGTGAGAGGAGCCATTTGTCTCTACAATCCCCAGGTTTTCTGTTCTATGCCTCTTTACCCCTTTGGAGATGTCCCTGGAATCCAAGATGCTTCTTCAGTTCTTCCTACACAAATTCCTGATTCATGTCCATTTCAATGGGCAAAGAGTGGTGAGAGACAGACCTGACCCCTAAATATAAGCAGAGCAAGAAATGAAAACTAAAAAATAGAAGACAGGGCTGAGAGAATCACACTCATGTTTGCCACGGGAGGGGAAGAGTTGAAACTATCAAGGGATGTGAGCTTAGACATTCTTTTTTTTTTTTCCAGAGAAACCAGGAGAGTGCCCCGAAGAGAGACTCACCTGTGAAACTAATCTTCTAGACTCATGTAAAACAGATTACAACTGCCCGGACTACCTGAAGTGCTGCTCTTTTGCCTGTAGGAAGAGGTGCATGGATCCCTACCAAGGTAATGGCTCAGGGCTGAGGGCAGGGGTGCCATCTGAGACATCTCACTTCTTGCTCTGTCTAGAACTAGCTGAACCATTTCCTAGAATGACATGACAAGGAGGTCAGAGTTCATCTTTTCCCATGATCTAATCCAGTTCCAAACTCTCAAGTACAGACCACAAATCTAGGCCCAATAGACATCAACTATCAATAGATACAGTTGGTGGTAGTCTTCTTTAGTTCAGCATTTAACTATTCACAAATAACTAGCAGAATCTAATGTGTATAGGTCATTGTATGTTTTATAGAGATTCATTCCTTCAGTCACTCAACGAATGTCTATTGTCAGTGCCCTTTGGCCAAAGAACAGGAACACATCCATATTTGAGCAAATTGGGTTTATTACTGGTTGCAGTGAGGGGAAACTTTGACCGTAACCAGAGGCAGCTCAGTAAGGATCTGTCAGAAACAATCTAGGACTTGGGCTTTGATTGGGTAATTTGGGGAAGGGTCTAAAGAAGCAGGGGTTTGTACTAGATTGGGTATTGTCAGAAAGTGGGTACAAGGGACCAGCAGATGGCATAATGGTTACATCACTGGACTCCCATGTAGTTCAAGTCCTGGGCCTGATGGCTTAAAACTCACACCAGGTCCGTGTGCGTACATGCCCAAAATCCTGAGGGGAGAATGAGAAGGGATTGCAGCATGGCCAGCCCACCCCGGCGGGGTGATTTCTTGCTTTCTATCTCTCTCTCTCTGGTGAGTGCACACAACCTATAGCAAAAATCTTTCTCTCTCAAAAAAAAAAAAAAGTGGGCATGAGTCTACAACTGGGTATCTCAGTGAGTCTGTCACTAGAGAGGGCAGGACAGAGTGAGAGTAAAGCTGGGACATAGGTAAGAAGCTGCCACTCCCATGAGCTGGAAGAGGGAGAGGTTTGGTACTCTGTGGGTATGGGAGTGATCTTATTTTTATACCACTTTATCATGGTCTCAGAGTGAGACCAGAGTGACCTTGTCTGATGAATATTTTGGGAGACTTACATCCAACAAGGGGGCAGCATGGTTTAGCCATGAGTATCAGGTTGGTTTTCAGACATCGGGCTGCCTTTTCTCCTCCTGTGTTTCATCTCTTATGTGCACTTAGTCCTTTGGGGTATTTTGTGAGGCACTCAGACATAGAGCTGAACAAGTCCTGCCGGAAAGCTCAGGGCAGTGGAGAAGAAAGATCAGTCCCAGGCCCAGCCACAGTAGCACGTGCCGGCAAATGCTGCTACGTCTCGGACTGAGGTCACAGGGGAAGCCCAGGTTTGATTCCTAGCCCACCTTATAAGCCTGTAGTCCCAGGTTCTTGGAAGGCGGGTGCAGGAGGAGTCCAGTGTCCTGGGCAGCCTGGGCAACATAGTGAGACCTGTCTGAAAGAACCAAGCGTCGCAGCTCACGCCTGTAGTCCCAGCTCCTCGGGAAGCTGAGGCAGGAGGATCGTGACATAGCAGAAACCTGTCTTTTTTTTTTTTTTTCCATCCAAACTACACTGTGCATTGGTTCAATCAAGCACATCAACATACATGTTCTCAGCAAGTAATTTTCCAATTCTTACATCCTGCATACCTTGCCTTTTGTCTTGCCATCCCTGATTCCCCATCCCCCACCCTCTGCCATGTCCCATCTTCCTCCTCCATTGTCCCTGGCATCCATG